GTAGCAAAATTAGGTGGATTAAAGATAACCCTGCCCTAGAGTGACATAGCTTTAAAATGAATAACGAGTGCTTTAAGCCTCTTAAAAGGTGTTTATGTGCAGCCAGGCCAGGCATTATGCCCATTTGTACATGCCACGGGGGTTTACTTCGGTTTAATTCTCCCTAAATTGAAGTGGTGGTTATTTAAAAACACCGCTTCAATTTAGGTCAAAGTAAACCTCCGTGGCATGTACACAAGGGTCGGGCCCAATCCTTACCTGCCTCTCCAGCAGCGGGGAGAGGAAGGCAAACTGACAGTGGGCCGAGCAGTCCCTGAGCTGCAGGGGAGGGGGGGGGCTGGCCCAGGCAGAGGCGATCCTGGGGATGGCACAGGGGGAAGCACCAGGCCCACATGCAGCTCAGGCAGGCAGGGGGGCGCCCGGGGGGGAAAAAAAAAAAAAAAAAAAAAAATAAAAACAGGGTTGGTTATTTTTTTTTTTTTTTTTTTCCTTCAGTGGAGCCTGCCTGCGGGGCTGCCTGCACAGCCCCTGAGCTGCATGGGGCCCGGTGCTTCCCTCCATGGCTGTAAGGTAGCAAACTAAAACACCTTGGACATGTTTTATTTTGCTGCGTCCCAAAGTCATTTAACGCACATTATACCGCCGACATGTGTAAACAGCTGCACCATTAAAGTGGTGCAAAAGGGCATTAAGCCACTTTAAAGGCCAGTTTTGTGGCATGTACAAATGGCTTAAGACCTCCAGAAGCAACCTAAAATTACTGTGTAACGAGGCCCTAAGATACAGTCTGACCCTTAGGGAGTTTTCCCACTGACCTCACTAGGGCCTCAGATGTCACCATTTTTATCTAAAAATGTACATTGAGCTAAACACAAAGACACAGGGCTAGTCCCCCACCCTCCACCCCTCACCCCCACAGTAATAGCCTTGCCTTTATGAAACTGTAGCATTTTCACTCAGCCATCACATTGGTTTTGTTGTTGCTTTCATGTACACTACAGACTCATTTGGCATAGTAGTACTTCATCCAAAGAAGGAAATAAGGGAACTTTTCAGAGGGATGCAATATGAGGCAGGAAAACAACAGGGCAAAAACCCAAGGCAGACCATTTCGGAGTGTAATAGAAGACTAAACCAAATAAGTAAAAACCAAACACACAGAAGGTGTTTTTGTTCAAAGGCACATCGCCGCCATTTTCTGCGTGCAAACGCTCATTTCACCACTTATACAACTGCAAGCACCCTACGCATTAGCTCATGTGTGGAGCAGACTCAATTAATCGAGTATACTCCAATGTACCAGATCTCTGGCACATCTGGGCACAAAAACCTATGTGTATAAAAGCCTATATAGTCCTCCTAGTCTGTTTTGTAATCTTTCTTACAATACGTGGTGTTGTCACTTTAAAATTAGATATGCCTGGCTGGCAGGCAGGTGCCTCCCCAACTGTGAGAGAGGTTTAGATGCAAGCAAATAAAGTTCTGATCCTGTTGAGCTGTTACAAAGCAGCCGTGCTGTTCTAGCACTGATAAATGCAATCATTTAACCTACTCAGCTGTGCTCCTACTGATTCTTCCTGAAGTTGCTGATTATCAGCTACTGCACCTTATTTATATTACCTCCACTAGGTCAGACATCCTCCTGAGTCGCATTCTGAGGATTGGTTGCAGGTGTGGACAAAATGAATGGAAGCGTCTTCGGCACAGCTGCAAAACATTAACACTAAAGGCTGTTATACTACTAATATGCTGCTCACCTGCCACTTGGCCACGTTGCTGATTTAACTGTCTTGCAAAATGAGCAGGTGGCTGTGTAATTTCTGCATCACGCAGACTGCAGAAGAGTTGCTTCTTACAGCCTTTTTCTCTACTCATTTCTGCTTATGCTGACCAGATGTGACTGAAAGCTATTGTTTCACTCATCACTGAGACATGCAGGCTCAGCCAAGGCCAGCAGACCAACAGAATCAAAGAGCTAAACCAGGAATCAAAATTGGGAGGGTGAAAGAAATGCAGGGAAGTATGGATGCAAATGCACACATAGCAAACAGTTGTCTTTCTAAGGAAACTATCTTCAGGCTGTAAAATACAGGAACAGATTAATCCTGGAGAGAGCAGATGCAGAGTTTTATGCAGATGAGCGCAAGGAAAAAGCGATAAGCAAAATCTTTCCCAAACCTGATCCTGAATCACTGTGCTACTGCAAAGCCAACAGACCTACTTATTCTCTAGTTTTGGGTCAGTTTTTTTGGCTTCCCCACACCCATCCAGGGTTGCTCCTGACTTTCTCTGGGGGTTCTCAGTTCCAGTGCACTGTTTTGAGTGTGGGGAGGATGCTGGGAGAAATAAGGGGGGAAAGTTTATTGGTCCTGCATCTATACTGCTTTAAAACATGACAGTTCATGACAGCCTGGCTTCATTCAATGGTGCTGAAACTAAAAACCTGGAGCTATCACTAGTAGGCACCCAAGGAACATGAGTGGGACTAAACATCTCTGTTAAAACCCCTTCCTACATGCCCTGCCCTTAAGAAATTCAGGTGTTAGTTACTTATTTAACTGAACCTGAAGTCTGAATCTCAGGGTTTGCTCATCATAGCTAAAACTATATGAGTGAAATACCATATGCAAGAGCTTCTTTAATATCTTGGAAAACTTTTCTTTTTACAATATACTCCAATTTGCATCCAGTATGATTGAGTAATGACAGATTTTTTAAACACTAGCATACTTTTTTATTAGGTAGGTAGTTTGTTTGTAGCTTTTGCTAAAATAATACTGTGAAATTGGCAGTATAATTAATATAATAAAAGTATATAATACACAGTTATTGGTAAACACATATAATAAGATCATATATTCTACCAATTAAAATTAAACATGCTATGATGATGATACAAAAATAGATCCAATGAAACAATATGCCATAGTAGAAGAATAAAAACAGGGGAAACGTTTTATTTACTCTATTCCAAGATGAGGGGGGGGTTCGAAATGTAATATGGATGGAGAAGCCCCTCATCTTGGATTCGAGTACAAGGCAGGGGAAGCGGGGGAGGGCAGGCTGCTGCTGCAGCTCCCTTAGGTTAGGGCCAAAGCTGCAGACGCTGTGGATGCCGCCTCTCCCCTTGGCAGCTTCCGGGCCCCACCCCACTAGCAGGCCCAGTCTCTGTCTCCTCCACAGACTGGGGCATAGAGCACAGCCCCAACCCAGCCTAATAGCAGTGGTGACAGATCCACACCACTGCTAGTGTTGGGCTGGGGCCATGCTCTCTTCCCCAGGCTGCAGCAGGGATGGAGCCTTCCAACGCTGGAGCAGGGGTAACCAACAGGAGCAGGGAGGAACTGCAGGTGGGGGGCATCAGGGGAGATGGGAGGAAGGGCCTACAATGGGGTAGGTGGGGAGCAGAGGCTGTGGGAGCTGCAGGTACAAGGTAGGGTAAGTGCATGGACAGGACAGGAAGCAGGTGGTAAGCTTCCTGTCCCACACCCCACTGCCTCCTCCACACCACCTACCTTGACTGTCTCCCCTACTCCTGCCCCAAGCCACCTCTATACTGCCTGCTCCCTGCCTCCTACCCTCACAACTGCCTGCCCCATTATTGCCTCCCCCACCACCTAACCCCCTACCACTGCTTTTCCCACTACAGTAGTGGGGATGTATTTAAGACAGTTCTCCAATAATTAGGTTCTATACATGAAATATTATAAGGAATCAGAACTCGTGGCAGAAGTGATATCTTTTATTAAACCAACTAGGTATTTGCAAAAAAAAAATTCTTTATTTGCAAGCTGTTGGGCGCACACATCCTTCCTCGGGCATAGGAGAATGCAAAGATCGTAAAATTTATCCTATGTGGAAATGAAAATTCATATTTTACAGGAGAGCTGAAGGTGTTATAAGGTCTCCTGGTTGAAATAGTTCATTTTGTGCAAATTAGGCTCAGATAAAAGTTAAAACTGTCTATTTATCTTGATGTTGTCTGGTGCCAAGCAGGATATTGAATTATGTTTCCTTCTGGTTATGATCATTCATATTCATATCCTTTTGCCTGTAGATCAATATGGCTACAAGCTGTGTCCCTGAAAAATTATAACAAATTTATACATTTTCCATGTGTAGAATCTAATTATTGGGGATTTATCTTAAATTCAGGGTCATCTTGGATTTGTGTAAATACTGTATTACTGTGGCAACTGCTGCTGCTATAAAATAGCCTAATTTTATCTTTAAAATACACAAAAAATACAAATATGAAAAAAACCCTAATCTCCCAGCATCTCTGATGCAGCTGGTAAGCAATTACTATTGCCCCCCATGTTACAGATGAGCAAAATGAGACATAGAAATGGAGTTTGTTATTCTCAGTTCATGAGGCTGTATTACCTGTGGCTTACATAGTGAAAAAATGTTTATGAATCTACAGTTCAAAAAATGATCTCATACACACTGTTTTTCTATTTAACCTAAGCAGTAACCAGCATGGATGTCAAATTTTCCTGGTTTATTTAATATTACCCATTTTACCATAACATCAAAAATTGGTTGCATGCTCAGTTATTGTGATTTGGATTTAAGAATGGTAGGATTATACTGCGAAACTCTGCTTCCAATGCAATGGCAGAAAACCAAATACAGTGAAGTGTTTTCAGTTCAAAACTTCACTGTGTTGTCTAAAAGTACAGACAAGAGGAAAAGTTTCCTGTGACATCAAGCAGTTGAAAAAAGTCACTTTTATACAAAAGACGTGAGACAGATTACAAATGCATTTCATTGATATTAACAAAACATAAGCAGTATTTGATATTTCAAACTCAGGAGAATATATTTCGGGAATTATTTAGACTGTCAGTAGTATCCTTCAGACAAACAAGAACACATTTACCTTGATATGTCTGCCTGTCATTCAGGTAACCTGTGATCCACTGAATATGTCTCTTTTTTCAAATGCTCATTTTACTGCAATTTTTTCTTGACTTGATATTCCTCTTACCTGACAGGTTGGGGATCAAATAATTGAAATCAATGGAGAAAGCACAAGGGACATGACACATGCCAGAGCAATAGAGCTTATCAAATCTGGTGGCAGGAGAGTGCGGCTGCTGCTGAAGCGTGGAACAGGCCAGGTCCCAGAATATGGTGGGTTTCCATTTATATATTTGCCCATGTACATGTATGTATATACCCATGTGATTAAACTACCTTTGTTTTGTGCTAAGAATTAATTACAGATTTAGGACCCAGCACTTGAGTACCTAAAGTGCTTCCCTGAATATGAATGATTTGTGCATGTGTTTAAGTGCCTGAATAGATATTATACAGCACTTCTATCTAAGCTATATGCATAGACAATGCTTAAAATATATATACTTTGGAGGGGGCACTTTGAATACTTTAGGGACATCTGTGAGTGTGCTGGGAGTTGCTGATCCATTCGGATAATCTGCTTGATAAAGCAGCCTTTTTTACACTTTTATTGGTATTTCTCTGTACATTTTGAGTCATAGGAGTTGATCCTGTTACCACGTTACTCAGTGGCAAAAATCCCATTGACTTTAGTGATACAGGATTAAGCAGTGTTCACTTGCTACTTAACCTTTCTCGTCAGACAATCTCCAACAATCTATGTGGAAGTCAGTTTGGAATAAAAAGACAGTATCTGCTCTTTTGAGCAAGATAGGTAGCATGATTCTTTAATCTTACTTTGAATTTCTGTTTTGTGTTGTTATGGCCTTGGAAACATCTTTATTGTTTTAACTTCTAAAAAGTGGGTATAATTTCAGGCAATAGTAAATCATATTACTTATCTAACATACTGCAGTAATGTTAAGGATTCTTTAAAATGTATGCCAGTATATCAATTCACATTTAGGCTCTGCTCGTGGAATCACTCACTAATGTGCTTAACTTTATCTCCAGTAGTAGTTATATGAAAATCAGCAGGGCTATTCAAATTACACGTGTACAGTTTGTAGACCTAATGGAGCTTTCCAATTTAAAGTTGTTTCCCTCAGATGGAATGGTTCTTCTGAGGTCATTACAGCCAAGATGGATGTCGAGATTCAAAATGTTATATACAATGCAAACCAACCAAAAAAGAAGCATGGACTTCAATATGCCACATTGTAAGAGCCCAGGGCTCTTAAGTTTTCAAAATCTACAAAGACCTTGTAGCCCCGTATAGTATCTTCAAATAAAGCCTGGTGATTCTAAGATAAGGGACATGATATGTAAAAGCTCTCTGGAAATACTTAAAAGAAAACATCAGCAGGATAGAGCATGCAGCCACGTAACCATTTCTACACAAAATTGGATTTGAAATCTCTCTTTTGTGAGGCCTCCATTTCTTCCTGACTCCAGTTGATCCAAAATACAAGTAAAAACAGTGAGTTTAATGTATTTCAGTATTTGCAGTTTTATTTTTCATATAAGCTCAGGAGCTATGAAGACATTTGAAAATGTAAAAGTAATCTTAAAAGTTTAACACTGTATTTATTTGAGCTCCCAAAATTATTGTATTTGGGGTTTGCTCTAGGCTGATATTATTCTTGACTATTATCCATCTTCCCCTTTAAAAACACTGCAGTCAGTACCATTACAACTCAAAAGTTTGCCAGCTGGCAGTGTTTGTGGTAACTACAGTTTCCTGGCCTATGCATTTGAAAAAATACCATGATTAAGGCAAATATTTAAGCTAGTACATGATGAGTCATTACTCACTGGTTGTTCAAGAACTTTTGAATAGTAATATCAGGGATGACAGATTGTGGTATATTCAATTTGCATAGTAATAATAGTAGCTTATACACAGGCTCTGTCAAACTTTTTTTGGGAACAGCAACACAGCCAAAAAGGCCCTCAGCCCACTGCAACATATGGCAAATTGTCACTCTGACATTTAAAATCCATTTTAACTAACATATAATCCCTGTTGGCAGACCCCAGAAGAGAGACCCAGACCAGCTCCAGCTCTCTTGTCAGGAGAGATGATCCATGACAGTAATAGAGCAGCCTCATAATACCAAATAAAAGAGAAAACAGGAATCTGTGGCCAGTTCAACAAGGAGTGGTCACCTCTCCAAAGCAGAAATGACATGTGTTTGCCTGGAAAGGATAGCTACCCAATAGTGGCTTTGGGAGCCCCTTAGCACCAAAGAATTGACACCCCTAGTGAAAATATCAGTCCTGAGCCATTCAGCATCCAACTCCCATAATGCCCCCATTCAGTGTAGAACTTAAGCATGTGCTGAACTGAGCCCTAACTTAGCTAATTTCCC